CTTCCTTTTTTCTTTTTTGCAAACATTTTGCTTCTCATCCAAGAAGCTTCTTCAGTTCTTGGATGAAAAGCGAAACATTTTCAAAGAAAAAAAGGACAAGAAAGTCCAGTTGTCTTTTGGAAAAGCACCTTTGGGACAACCATGACCTGGATGATTGAGAATCTCCATAGAAAGGTAACATTCTTGTTAACATGAAAATTAGAATGTTTGGAACCTGGAGGAGTGCTTGAAAAATGTTAGATTTGATAGCATCCAAGAACTTTAGATCACTACAGGGACATATCTCCATACACTGTACATTATTAGGGATGTAGATTTAGCTTTAAACAGTTTGATAGTTGCAGGAATGCATCAACTTCCCTTAAAATGAAAAAAGCCCATGATTGCCTTGACATTATTTCTGCCTTTGGCATAGAAAACTCTAAACTGTTCCAGTAAACTTTCAAAGTCTTAAAAAAAAAATACTTCCAGATATTTAAAGTCTGGAACTTGTTCTATTTTGCTAGTTCTTATTTGCCATTGATGTTTATGATGTTTATAGGACTTCCCTGGGTCTTAGAATAATTAACTGTAAGCTCTTCCTCTTTACACAATTGTGGTAAAATTTGCAAACTTCTCTTCTATCTTTGTAAGCAACAAAACAGGTTTGCCAAATATTTGCTTTGTATGATGAAATTCTTTTGGTAAGAGTGGCAACCATTTAATTTGTATAAATATTATACAGTAGAGAAGCTAAAACACACCTCTGTTTCACTTCTCAGCTGACTGGAGTATCAGCAGTAGCCATGTTTATTGCACCCCACTTGAGTGGCTATGTTTTCATGCAGCATCTTGATTAGTGAAAAGTAGCCATCAGTCAATAGCTGTAACGGTGAGCTTCTATCAAAGTCAATCTCTTGGAATGGAACTGAAGGCTGATTTTAGTCAATGAAAGCAAAGTATAAAATATGTTGCTGTCTCCTGGTATATTTTTCTATTAGGATTTACAGAATAACCACTCTTCCATTGTAGAATTGCTCTCTATTGGGTTAGGAAGAATAGAACATGAATACAATAAGTACTGATGTAACAGGTGAAAGAGAAAAATAAAATGGGAGGATGCAACCTGGTCATTGCAGGGAAAAGAGAGCAGACTGTTATTTGGCTTCCTTTCTTTTTTGGTTGTAATCTAATACAAAGAAATTGTATTGGGGTACCCAATTTAAAAAGCCACTGCTTATTGCCAGATCAGCTACTGATAAAAAATTGTTATCCATGATTTAAATCCTGGATGAACATGTTGACCTGGTATGTGTCTGAAAACCTGGTTAAGGGAAAAGGAAGGAGAAAATCAGGACCACCTCTATTCATTGGGCTCTATGATACAACAGGCCAGAACTAAAAGGTGGGGTAGTGGCATAAATATGTAAAAATACCATTTCACTGACCAAACTCCCATCAGACAGCTCTCTAGCTCAATTTTGAATATTTGCTAATGCAATTGAGTAACAGGAATGGTATAGAGATACCATGACATACTCACCACCCTTTTGAATGGATATTTCTCTTACTGGAGTGATTTCTGAAGTGATAATGGACTATTTTAGTTGTTTTGTCCTGAAGATTTCCATATCTGTGATCAGCTAATTCGGAATTTAATTTCTGCTATGATGACTGTAGGCCTCTCCCAAGTGGTATCTTATCTTTACAAACATAATTTGGTATTCTGTTTATTTGGATCCAGCAATCTGAAAACGAACGAGCTGCCTCTAACTCTGTTTTCATTCACAGGTAATTGTTAGGTTTGCAGCTGCTGTATACTTTTGCAGGAATAAAGACTACCGGTAGTTAAAAGGATAAAATCGAGAGGTGATTTTTCCACCTCAACTTTAGCAATTCTACTGAAAGCCTAGCTGATTTATGGAGCATAAAAATGGTTTGGGCTTGATGTTATCATAAATGTTTATTTCCGTATACCAGAAGGAATAAAAATATGTATAATTATCAAGAAACAAGTATGTTCATGAGGTCACTAAAAATCAACATTGATTCAATGCAAATTTCATATTACTTTGTCAATTATTACATAACACTTTCTTCATCATTTCTATCTATAGTTTATTTTGAAATTAATTATTTGGAGAGTTAAATATTTAAAAAAACAATCTAGGATTTTTAATATGATGACAACAGTCAACTGATTTTTGTAGTCTTCTTCAGTTTTCAATTTGCACAATTTAGCTTAAAAGTAGTTGAAGTGAAGGTTCTGCAGTTTCAATTTATTTGTTTTACTGTTGCTTATATATGTATTTCTTTGCTTGCTTATTTATTGTTTTTATATAACACTAGGTAAAAAGGATTTCTTGCATTTCATATTATAAAATATAAAAACACAGAAGAAACAAAATAAAAATACAAAATTACCATAAAACAATAGGCAAAGTGGCAACTATCGACTAATATATGGTCTGCTGCATTTTGCACAAAATGCAGTTTCTGAGTGGTCTTTAGAGGCAGCTGTTATGTTCTGTTATTATTGGTGGTTCTGTTATAGGTTCTATTATTATAATTCTAATTTTCAGTTGTATTTTTATGTTATAAATTGCTTCGAATTCCTTAATATTATTTTAATGAAATTACAATGGATTTCTTTTTGAAGAAAGAAATGTGAGAATGACAATTGTTAGATATTTAGGTAAAGTTTCATATGGCAAACTGCTGTTTGATTAACTTTATTAAAAATAAAGTATAATTTTATTACTTTGACAAAAACCTTTTGTATTTCTTATAGAATACTGACACATAGTGCGCTATCCATTTGACAAATATTTATTTTTTTAAAAAAAAATGAAAATATTTTAATATGTTTTTCTAAATGAGGAATCTTTAGTATTCTCAGTGTCTTATTGACATATATGGGAGTCATTATTCTCTAATTTATAATAGGCAACTTTTAGATTTAGTACAGTAATTTCCTGCCAAAGAATATAGAATAAGATTCTACTTTGCTTGCAGTGATACTAGAAATAAGAAAAAAGGAGGCAGAAATTTATGTTAATTAGGACATATTTCTTGTTAATATAGAAAGATCTGCTATAAATAAAAAGCTTAAGTATACAGGACATAATAAAGCCAGGAATCCTTTCCTAGCTACTAACTTGAATAAATGGGTCTTGCCCTGACTAAAACCAGTTCTGCTAGCCATGTATTTAAAGCTATGGGAAAGCATGACAAATCACTGACTTTCAAGCCTCACTGCGTTAGTATACAATTTGGTTAAGTTTCAAGAGTTTGACCTCAAAGATCTGAAAAGATGTCTAATTATCTCTTGACCATCTCATTGTTCATTCACTATTCTTTTTTTCTACATTATCTGTCAATATGATTTAGCTAATGAACTCTCATTCACTTAGTCTACTGTAGACAAAACAAAAACACCCTAAGAAAATGAAGTAATCCAGCCCTAAGATTTAAAAGAACGAACAAGCAAACTCACTTACATACTTCTCCTTACAATAACTGATAATGAAATAAAAGATGGGTACCCTTCTATACTGACTGATTAAAAAGGAGTTCAGTTCATCAAGCTGGATCATTCTTCTATATCTGGGTGGCAATGCTATTAAACTCAACACTTTTGGACAATGATTTTTTAATGGAACATTACACATTCTAAATGTTGAGTTTTATTTTCAACCTTCCATCATGTTTCTGTTGATTATGAATAAATCTTACATTCCTACAAAGTATATTGCATTAGCCTTTGCATATGATTACTGTTACAATGAATGTTTATGCTTCTCACTGGAAATTGCTACAGCCACTCAGTGTCCTTGGGAGCCATGCAGTATATAAATTTAATAAATAAATTCCCTATGCACAAAAATGCCAAAGCAAATTGTGGGAGTATGCCTTGTTGTCTAAAATAAATTCAAATGTGAAAAGGATACCTAACTTGGAATTTAAGTCAACATGGAACCATTTACAAGATGGTACCATGTCTTTAATTTGTAAAGTTTATTTTAACATCAGGATTTGATAATGTAAGTCCTTAACAGTGGTGGGTTCCTCTCGGTTCAATCCAGTTCGGCCGAGCCGGTAGCGGTGACAATATGACCTCACCGAACCGGTTCTCCCCCCGCCCTCCCCCCCACGTTATTATTACCTTTTATTTGGTCCCACCCCAATCTATTGCTGCCTCCTGAGTCCCAGCTGATGACTAGAGGGAAAAAAAACTGTTTAAACTCTTGCCGCGGGGCTTCAAAGGGCCGTCCTACAGCTGATCAGTGTTAAAAGCAAACAAATGAGTCAGGTCGTAAGTGCGAGGACTGGTCGTAAGTGCGAGGACCTACCAGAAATGACTCTGACCAGCTAGCCACGCCCACCTAGTCACATGACCTCCAAGCCACACCCACAAAATAAGCTACACTCACAGAACCGGTAGTAAAAAAATTTAGAACCCACCCCTGGTCCTTAAGGACATGTCTAGAATGGCTGCTCTCAAAAAGAGAGATCAGACTGACTTAGTATGCCTTGTTCTTAAGAAAACCAAGCTGGCAGCAAGCAATTTACAAAATTAGAAACTGATTGCTTTATAATTTGATCTAACAAATAGTTTCCCGGTTTAGTCTGGCTTCAATAGTTGTTAGAACAATTTACAAAGCAATCTTTCTAGAACTAATTCAAGGGAAAAGGATTCTTCTTAACAGCCAGATGGGCTTGGTGCAACAGCCTTCTAACCCCACCCCTAACTTTGCTAAATATTTCTTTGGAACCTCTGTAGATAAAATCATGTCAAGTTTAGAAGAATGAAATGCTAGAGCCATGTAATTGTAGGTTAACAATTTAACTTGATGTTTTACAGACATTTATAGAATCTTAAATGTCTTTATAAAATTATTTTGGTTCGCAATTGGTTTGCAATTTTGGTTTACAATTGCAAATGCTTTCAGGTTTACTTATGGAATAATAGGTTATATGTTAAATGAATATTAATTATATCCCTTTGTCTCTATATCCAGGTAACTTCTGGTGGAAGAGCAAATTACTATGTATCTTACAAAAGGGAAGCCTTTACTCAGATAAAATTACCCAAGTATTCACTACCAAAGGTAAATGTATCACAACTACAAAAATAAGAACAACGTATTTGATTCTCACAGTATTATACACAAAATAAATTGTTTTGTTACATTTCTATAATTTCTATGGTTATTAAATTATGGCTAGACTGCTGATATGTGATTCACCATCCAAATGCTTGAGAATCCTTGCTTTCTTTACCCCTATGCAATAAAATGGGGATATCTACCAAAGCTTTTTGGCTACATTATTGAAAAGCTGCTTTAATGTTATGCTAATAACATTCTATTTTCATTTCATCTTGGCAACATGCATATAACTGGTTGATTGTGTTTGAAAGCAACTGGAAATGGATCCAGTGCATTTGTGATTTTCTACTGAAATCGTTCTATGAGTAGTAATATTATACCCACAGGAAGTGGCATTTTTACTGGAGACATTTGGCTTTGATAGCCCTTCTCTTTACTAAATAAATCTATAGCTAGGAGTTACATTGCTAGTGGCTCTAAATTTAGGCATTGGATGTATTAAAAATTGATCACCTTTGTTACTGGCTGTTACCAAAAAAGTAGGCTCAGTCTCAGTGTCTCTGTTAGCTTGACAGCTGTGCTTCGTCTCTTGTAGGCCAAAGGAAACCTTTAGGCTCTGAAGCTACAAATCTTTGAAGAGCAATAAAATTGCAAGTGTATAAATAAAAAATGAAGTAGGATGAACTTCTTTAAAGATTCTGGAATCTGTCTTCTTCTTCCCCACTGACCACCCTGCAGCCAATTTAAAATTAAGAAACATACAAATAAGAATACCTGAATGTCATAATTTATTGGCTTGATCTAATGGAAAATTGTTTAACATCACTCATAACTTATGATCTTTCCCCTGCAGTGGCATAAGGCATGATAATTGCTTTGTGTCCCAAAGGGCAAAGAAGTATAAAGATTGGAAGTAATAAGTCTTTTATCTTCCTTAACAGGACATGCATATTATCAGCACAGATGAGAATCAGGTGTTTGCTGCAGTTCAGGAATGGAACCAAAATGACACATACAACCTCTACATTTCTGATGTTCGTGGAGTCTACTTCACACTAGCCTTGGAGAATGTTAAGAGCAACCGAGGACTAGAAGGGAATGTTATCATTGACCTTTATGAGGTATGCACCCAAGGTCATAATGAGGCAACTTGTCCTTTTATATCTGTAGTGGAATAGCTGAACTCTGAAAGGGCTGCAGTCTCAAAACTCCTTTTTTTCTGAGTCATCAAATCCTGAATTTTCCCTATGCTAATGGATAGCAGTTTAGTAGATTCTATCTTTCAGGAAAGTCTCACCTGGCATTTCCCTCCTAACTCCCCTGTGTAAAAGAAATAAGTCTCTCACCACAGACAGTTAAAAGTAAATAATGTAGAAGTTAAAATAATTTCTGCATTGTTACTTGGTTATATATCTTAGAGGCAAGGGAGCAGAAGATTCAGTCTTCTCCCCACTTCTTAGTCTAATAAAAAAAAAGAAAAACCATATACCCAGACACACATATATATCCATATATGTATATACATATATACACTTATACTCATACTATATAAATCCTTTTCAACCTTTTCAACCTTATATTGTATATTGTGCATGCGCACCCCCCCACACACCCAGATAACATATTGTAACATAGGAAAGGAAAGGAAACGAAAGGAAAGGAAAGGATGATATAAAATATTTTAAATAAACAAATCTTTACACAAACACAAACACACACTCAAGAATGGAGGGCAGATTGTGATCTAATCAAGATTTACAAGAGCTGGATTTTTTATAATAAATATCCTTTCCTTTTTATTAGGAGCACAGTTCAGAATCAGAGTTATAGCAGAAACCAGCAATGTCTGTACAATAAAGAAGAATAAAATGGGATTGTGAAATTCCTATGATGTGGGGGCCGGGGAAGCAAAGGTTTTAGGAGTTCTGCTGCCAGAAAGGAATTTCTCTGGAGATGAGATTAAAGTTCTCTTATGCGCTCTTAAAAAGCAATTTGTTTTTTGATAGGATATTTTGTACTCACTTTCCTGGTGAATTTCCAAAATAGGTCTCTATCTATAGTTGGGCAATGATAGAAGCCTTTGTGAGAAACATTTGCTGTACTTAAAATTACATTCATTTTCTTTTTTCTTTTTCTTTTTTTTTAAAAAAGCCCTTTTTCTGAGATATTTTCTCATTTTTCTGCCAGTATGAAAGGTAATTCAGTGAGTTGATTGTGGAATAAATTACATTTTTCCCTCTTAGAATGAACTAAATTGGGGCAAGTTGGTAGAGGAGAGGGATCTAAAAGCAGACACATCAGTTACATTTCATCTTTGATATTCTTTTATTAGATGTGTGAAAAATTAAATGCAATCCCTGATCCAGTCTTCCCTAACTAGATGTCTTGAAAATATAGGTATTAGTAGCCCCATAACCTCTAACAATATATTAATGGTTACTATGCAGACTGGGAATTCTGAAAACTGAACACTCAATATATCTGCAGAGCATCAGGCTGATAAAGAGTGGATTAGTTAACCTTGAAACATTTCAAAAATTCCAAGAAACTGACAGTGTATAGAATTTGAGATTTACCAGCGTGCTGAGAAGCTATTGCAAATGTGGAAGTTCAGGTCACACTGTTTCTTTGGTAGTATTCAAACAAACAATTCCATATCTTATTATTATAACTCTAACTCTAATCTTAACCTTATAGAATTGGGACAGAACATTTTGACTTGAGAAAGCTGTATTTGTTTGTTTTGAGAATGGCCTAGCTCTTCCCGTTGAAAATCATATGCCAGTTAACTATCTCAGCAAAAGGGAAAATATATTTATTTATTTGCAGCTATAAAAATCACATAAATAGCAAACATTTGGTTATTTGTTTATTTGATTTATGTAGAATTCCCCTGGCCCCCAAATGACTTATTATCATTGATACTATAAAATATAATTAAAACATACCAAAACTCACCACCAATTTTCATGAATCTTCGACTTCGATTCTTGGAAAATAAGCCATCTCTTTAAAGCAAGCAGAGTCAGGCCAAGGGCCATTCATATCTAAGAAGGAATGCTATTCCATAGCAGAAACACAGCAACAGAGAAGGCAGAACCAGAAGAGGGCATTGTTTAAGAGACATGAGCCAGAGTATTCTGTTGGATCTTATTGGCTGAGCAAAACTGATAGGAGATATGACCCCAAAAGTAACATGACCGTATGCCACAAGGGACTTTAAAGGTGATACCAGCACCTTGAATTGTACCCAGAAGCCCATTGATAACCAATACAGATCATGAAGTAGAGATGTTGTATAGGTGCACCAATCTATGTCCATAACTACTTATCCACTGTATATTTGACCAGCTACAGCTTCTGGATGGTCTTCAAGGGCAGCCCCATGTACACTACATTGCAGTAGTACAGAAGAGAAGTGATACATACAACCAAAATATGTGTGACAGTGAACAAGGCCTCCTGATCTAGGAAATGCAGACAAGCCATAGTCCCAATCTGATCGTTGAGTACTAGTCATGAATCTAAAAGGCTTGTTGGATTTTATTGGTTTTTTGTTTCTTTTTATTTTGTTTTGTTTTTTTGAGAAAGTGTTACCTTATTCAAGACTGGAATAGATGGAAATTCTCTGAATCCAGATTTCAAAATCCACAGTCCTTTCAATTAAAGGTGGTAGTTTCCACAGGCATAAATTTATCTGGTAGTTTAGATAAGTGCAGCTTAAAACATACAGTCAGTTATGAAGGAAAACAACTAAAAATTCATATTGTTTGCAGTTTTGATTGTAGTGCATGATTTACAAAAAAAATGGGCTCTGCTCAAGTCAGTATCCAGCTATGTCATTGACCTGATCCTGCTTCCGTTACTTGCATCTTTATGGCAACCAGTTGTCCCAGCTTTTAAACTCCAAGATCAGAAACATCCTGGACACAATTGCTATAACCCCGGCCACTAAGTGAAAGAATTACCACTACCAACTAAAATACACTTGTAACCATTCCTCAATTAACAACAAGCAGATGATCAGTAGTATCTCAAGTCTCAGTAACATTTTTTTTCTTAAATATTAGGATATTTTTGCAATTTTGTGAATGGTTCATAAATATTTCAGGATTGAATAAATTAGCTCTTAACTGCAAGGATAATGACTTTATATAAGACTTCTATGTTTCCTTTAATTTAAATGATTTTTAAATTTTCATTATTGGGAGAAACAGCAATATTTCAGTATAGTTCTCACAATTCCATTTTTTTCCTGCATAAATATCATCTGTGGTCTATAGTCCACATTGTAATATGTTAAAAATTGTTCCATTTCTGGAATTCTCATTCTTCAGTTTATATTTATATTTACTTGAAGAATCCTAAAGAATGCGTTATCCAAGTGTATCACTCTTCTGAACAGAAAGATGACATGGGAGCATATGAAAATGTGTAATCATTCTGATATTCTATTGTCAAATTAAACAGTGACCTGCCTTTATGCTATAAAATTAGCTGTTCAGTTGATTGTGGTCATCGCCAAATAAATGGCTATCTTCCCTGGCTACTAGATCAGAGACTTGTGGTGTGCATCTACATATGATGCACATATCTGATGGAAATCTGACTAAGGTTGCTTGTTTTTCATTGTTAATGGTGGTAAACCCTGTAATCATCTGATTCATGATAGATGACATATTTTCTCCTTCTTAAAACCAATGATGCATTCCCATTTGATCATTATGATCAACTGTTAGTCAATCGGACAAGAATATCTGAGGTTTCATAGACAGTGCTTTTCATGCAAACATTTTCATGAAGTCTGTGGTCCCTACTTTGGTTAATTCTGGATTAGATGGAGTTTAAGGTAATGCAGTAGAGATGTAATTCTGAATGAATTGGCTACAGACTATGGATTATGTAAAGCTTTTAATTTTATTTACCAAATTTCCTGAATGAAATGGTTTTCCAGTAAAATACATTACCAAGAAAAAATGAGTCAATTGACATTCCTTTCAATTTTATTAAAAAATGTTCATATGATTTCTATATGACCTGAAAGTGTTCCTGCTAGAGTACAGATATTTGTCGTTGTCTGCCAGATGATTATATTGACATTTAGATGCCGACAAAGGATAAAAAGCTACCCTTTAAATAATAGATGTATTATATATGTTTATCTCTTGTTTTGCTTGTTTAGCTCCCAAAGTTTCAAATTTTTCTGATAGCACTGATTGTGTAACCTTGGACCATCCAAGGGACATTTTCATTTTGGAAAATAGCTCTCAGAAAATTTTTTAAAAAGTGTTAAGTTGCTTGTGTTGAATCCATTTGCTTTAAGCAATTCTTTAGACTTTTAATAAATGCGTATGCACTACTTAACTGTGTCTTGTCTTTACCTAATCATGCAATACGGTTTTTCATTTCTTATCATTTTTCCTAGGTAGCAGGGATCAAAGGCATATTGCTGGCTAACAAGAAAGTAGAAGACCAAATAAAAACGTTCATCACCTATAATAAAGGAAGAGACTGGCGTTTGCTACAGGCTCCAGATTCTGACCTTAGAGGGGACCCCATTCACTGTCTGCTGGTCAGTGATGGAAAATTTCCAAGCTCTAATTTTTTGGGTCAATTTCCCAAGCCCAAGTAGAAAACTTATTGATTTCTATGGAATGTTTCCCTGAAATTCAACCCTGTGCAGTTAATGGTTCCCTGTTCCTCCCAAAAAAATTATTCAAGGAAACATTATGAACATTTAATAATAGGCTGTGAATTTATCTTAAATGTCATTGCTTTCTACAGAAAGAGGGCCTGGAAAGATTATTATTTAATTATACAGTGCTGTTTCCAACTACAGACGGCAAAGTGATTTAGTAATTCTATTCTCTAAAGTCAAATCAGAAACAAATTTTATCATATGATCTGAACACTAGCTGTCATTGCAACTTTCTTTTCAACTTGAAAAGAAAGCTCTTGAATAATGCTGGGTGTCTAGCAAGTTTCTAGAAAAGGAGATTTTTATGATTATTTCCATAATATATTCAGAAACCAGAATGCCTTTCATGTTACCTTCATGTGTAAACCCACATAAGCAGCAATAATGATTTATTTTTGGAAGTGAATTGTTGGTGTTAATGTTGTTGGTAGGGATGATACTATTTTTGAATGAAGAAAATTTGAACTTTGATATCAAGAGGATAGATTAGTCTACATCCTCAAGGTCGATTTATCAACAACTATGTATACAATTTCTCAATTCTTTCAGCCTTTCTGTTCCTTGCACTTACATTTGCAAGTCCCTGAAAACCCTTACACTTCAGGCAGTATTTCAAGCAAAGAGACAGTCCCTGGACTTCTGGTTGCTACAGGTAAATAATATGGCTTTATTTAATTGTTCCTGTTCTTTTCAAATATATGCCTGCTTCCCAAGCACAGCTGACAGAATAATGTTAGCTGCATTTGAACATTTCTGGGGAAGAACAGCTATAGGCAGAGCTTTGTTTATTTATTTATTATTTATTTATTATTTTATTTAATTATTGAGTGCCTTCAAGTCAGATTTGTTTTTGTTTTTTTGTTTTTTTACCTTTGGTGATGATCTGGACAAGTCCCTGGAGTTTTCTTGCAAGATTTTGGAAGTGATTTTCCAGGGCCTTCTTTCTAGGGCTGAGAGAGAGTGACTGGCCCAAGGTCATCCAATTGGCTTTGGGCCTACAGCAGGACTATAACTCACCGTCTCCATTGGAGAGTCTCCAATCTTTATATGGCTACATTTCCAGAAATATTTAATTTATTCATACACACATACATTCACTCACTCACTCACTGTTGATATTTCCTCCAAAATTCCTGGTTTGAATACCAGGAGGTATTTCCCAGCCTATCCATAACTGGAGTTCTGCTAAAGCTGTTCTACAAATAACTTATTTATTATAAATGCACTATCTAGCAATAAAGTTTGAAGTTTGGCCAATTTTGTTACCCAAGTATGAAATGTCCAGTCTATAGAGATGTTCTTGGTATCTATTTCATATTATTTTTGGTCCCAAATTATGATGATTTATTCTGGGTATTTTAATCTGAAAAATCCTTAGACTGCTGTATTTTTAACCGCTACCTGATTGCTATGGTTTTCGTCTATATTTCAGAGTTTTGTTAATTTTTTGCTGGAATCTAATCAAGGAACACATGTTTTAAACTAAATGTACATATATGTCTGTGTTAATGCTTGTTTGGAAATATTTCTCTTTACAATATGTAACTAATATATAAAATATAATTTGAAGATACGATTTAGGGTAGGGAAAAAGCACTAAGGCTATCCTAATATGTCTGCCAAATTCAATGTCATTAAGATTGATTAGTACGATATTGTATAAATAGGTGACATACAAGTAAGAGTAAAATTTTAAAAAAATATTTATGGAATTGTGGTTCGTAAATTATGGCTGAATTTTGAAAAAAATCATGGAACCCAATCACTTGGTTGCAGCCAAAAGTCAATATATGCTGAGCTCCAGGATTTTCCACAAATATTTTTGTGGGTTTCGGTTATCCTAAATCTTTCCCCTATGGAAATAGAAATAAAACTCTGGATTTGGGAGAGTTTTAAAACACTGTAGTTGCTGTATAATTGCACTAGTGGTCATGGAAACATCCAGCTGATTATGTTAAACCTTTATCTGGATAAATTTTTCTCTATCCATCTATCTTGCCATCTCTATTATTTTTTGTTCTCTTTGAAGATTCTTTGCTGATCCTAATGTCAGGGGCAATTTCATTGGTCTACAATGAGAAAGCCCCAGAATTGAAAGTAGCTAAATTTTACCAGCATTGGGTCACTAATAAAAGAAAATTAAGTCCTGAGTATTAATTGGCTCCAGTTTCCAAGATACAGCTTCAGGTCAAAATTGCATCAAAATAATTCAAAATTACAAAGGGGATGTGCGATTATGCTCCATAACTTTTCTTCAAAATGTGATATAGCAACAAGAATGATGTCACATATATCATTATATATTTATTTTTTTATTGATACCAATAACATAACTTTTCTTCTTTTTTTTTATTGAAAAAGTTTTTCAAATACAATTTTCCCCCTTTCCCCCCCTCCACCCTAACCCCCCCTCCCCCTCCCCTCCCCCTGTGGCTTTTAGAAATAGTCTAAATGCGAGTGTAAGAACTGAATTTTCAGTGACATGTTTGCACCAAGTGCTTTATAGGACCTAAGCAAATTTTCTACATAGTTTTCATAGTTATCTGCCTTGCTGTTTTCCAAGTGAAGATAAATTTACAAATTTCCACGTGGTACCATTTTCATTGTTCTACCGTACTTTGTCAAGGTTATGGGGCATGATCATTAGACACCTCCCTCCCTTGTAAGCAAATATACTCGCCTGTATATAAATCTTTATTGTGAAATATTTTGAAAATTTTAGCCAACCAGCACCTTTATCACCTGTTTTCTAATTCATCTAATCAAAATATGTAAAATTAACACATTTTATCTTGGAGGTCAATAATTCCCCAAAATTTGTAGACCATTGTTATCTGTGAAATAGCATGAATCCATGCATCAAACTGACCCTTATATGCACTCCTCCACACTATTGTACTGCTACTTTGGCCTATTGGCCTGCATTGACTTCATACTAAAACAGCAGTGTCATATTGAAACTTGGACGTAAATCCTGGAAAAGTGATGTATACCACCACGGGTAATCTAAAAGCATTGAAAACAACGAGGTGTTTGTGCAAATGTTGGATATATTGAAACAATATGTTTTTATATACCACATATATTGGATTATGATATTATCATAATTTCTTTTGAGCCTGGCAATTTACAGAACACAGAAAGAAAATCTCTCCCTCATATTATTATTAGAGCCAAGGTGGCACAGTGGTTAGAGTGCAACACTGCTGGCTACTTCAGCTGACTGCTAGCTGCAGTTTGGCAGTTCAAATCTCACTGGCTCAAGGTTGACTCAGCCTTCCATTCTTCTGATGGAATTGGCAATAGTTGTACAGTACACGTGACTGGAACTTAAGAGTTATTACTCATAATTGTTGGACTGCTTTTTCCCTTATCAAAAAGAACTTGGAAACACTTTGTTGCAATATATTTGATATTCTGTGCTTTTCAACAAAGCCTATCTTTAACTGGTCACATGATTCTAATAACAGCCTGTAATAACATTAAATGCCAGCAGTGCCCAGGCCTTGATAATTAACCTGATAGCCATCATAGCACCTGTATATCTTCACTTGCCTGCTCACAGTAGGCTCTCTCATCAGGGTGGCCATCACCAACCAGCTTGATGCAGAGTACTCAGCATGTTTAGTTCAGCAAGAGATGTCCAAGGTTACAAAAAAAAATGTTGAATTGTTGTCACTACAGATAACTTGTATTTATACCTTGGCATGTGTTCTGTAATTTCCCAGAAATGTCAGACAGCTGGCATATTGCTGTTTATAGGAGCCTCAGCTATTATCCTATTACATTCATGCTCACAATAAATTTGCATATGACTGTTACATGCTCAGCCTTGGAAGTGTAAACAAATTTCTTTGACTATATAATTTAACTAGATTTGACTATTTAATTCTTTGACTAGATTAGCCAGTAACAAGGTAGTGGTATAATGCACATAGCTCAATCTAAGAAATAGCAATGGATTGATAATAGATTTGTCAGACTATCATTTTCTAATATGATATTTTCTGGATGAAAATGCATTATATAACTGTATTATATTATGTTATATAATTATATAACTAGGATTAATTAATGACAGGTGGGCTAAGACAATCATAGAATGAATTCTGCTTGATAAAAAAGCATCTACAAAAGAGACCTAAAGTAAGATGGAGCAACAACGTCAGCAAGTATGATGTCCAACTGGCAAAATTAAGCTCAAGACCTCATTGGTTAGAAACATGCAGAAGAAGCCTTCATCCTGCAATGAATAGATAATGGCTAGAATGATGATGATAACTAGGATTATCTGTTGTCCATGTTTCCCTTATACCAGTAATCTATATTAAAAAAGGCAAAGATACCTACAAGCTACAAAGTTCTCTATACAGTACAAACTTGTTAGATTTGACATATAGTGAGAAATTGGAATCAATTTAAATTGTGTGTTTATTGAAATGGAATCCTCTGAATTATGAAAATACACAGAAAAAAACTGTAATTTGTTCTACGATCATAGCTCAATCAAACCTTGAAAAAGAACTCCTTACACTCTTACACCCTTACACTTCTTGCACTCTTACGTTCTTCTTTCCAATCAAGAAAACTGTCCTTTGCTTATGAAGATGGGCAGAAGTTAACATTAGAAGAACTCCTTGACTACATACGTAGAAACAAGACTGCTGGTTTTCAGGCGAAAATTTTGTTTGTCTGCATTCTATGTGCAATGTGGTATTTCTTACAGGGATGCAAAAGGGATTGTACACCTGAAAACTCCATCAAAATCATCAGCAGACTCAACTGAACAGACAGTTCAGACAGTTTTAGACAGTTATTGAAATAAAATACATGGCATGCACCATAAATAAGCTTCTCTTTGCATAATTTATAAATTATAAGAGTGCCTTCTTTATTCAAGAATTCCAAAAGGAAAAGGTTAGTGATATTTTTTATTAAGCAATCACTAAATTAGTAATGAAATCCATAATGAACACGCCTAACAGAACTCTTATTTACTAGGAATCAATTTTCTCTCTAAATAAGAACATGTTTGATGGAGGTATACCAAAGATTCAGACTCACAACGAATGAATTGCTTACTGCTTCCTACCTATAATGGCCTATTTTTTAAAAAAGCAGATTTAAAAAGATGTGAAGGTGTGTGTGTGTGTGTTGAAGTTAGAGATGTGATTTCACCAATCCAAATATAAACAGCATCTCAAATACATGGTCTCTAAGGTATCCATAGAATCACCCATACTAGGAAAAATGAAAGGGAGAGAGCTAAATGGCTTTCTGTTGTTATGTTTTGCATCAATGCCAGAGTTTCAGGTTTAGACATATAGGACTAGGCAATATGTATATGGAGCACAGAAATTTGAATTCCAGATTTTCTTGACTTTCTAGTACATTCAGAAGCCTCTGATAATCCTTATAATAACCTCTGCTGAAATTTTATGCAAGTAACAATTCTTGAAGTTCTTGAAGTTTATTCATTAATAATCATCAATAATGAAATGATGCAATTTAATAGTTTCTATCAAGAACTTTTCATATGACTTTTTATATCAATCATAACCCTTAAATTGCAGATTTTTTTTTTCAATATGTATTTTTGCAAGTTGGCAGGCTGCACCTTTTATCACTAGTAGGAATGTGTCAAGATGCATCTGGGCTTTCATTCTTCATTTTCCAACATTAAATGTCAGATACTCAATTAACATTTTCATTAGTGTGTATTTGTTTTGCCTGCTCTGAAGTGATAAAAGTTGGGAGTTGACTTTATCTTCCTTTCATTTTTAATATAAAACAAAACAGAAGAAGCTAGTTTTCATTTAGTCATATTTTCTTATAGTGAAGTAATAACTTCCAAAAGTTTCCCCATCAGATATGTAATTTAGGAAACTTTATTTAAATTGAGTTGCAGATAGTTTCCTTGGTTCTTTTTCTTTTTTTCTGAGAATGAGTGAGGTCATTTATCAGTTTTGGGTTCAGTATAAGTAATACACTAATGATACCCAGTTATATATTTTCAGTGTTTGTTTAACAAAGAAATTAAGTCAAAGTTTTGAAGGTGTGCTTTGTTCCAAAAAACAATGAAGCTCTTTTAAGACTAGCGTAACCCCGTTGCAAATAAACCCTGGAATTACTCAGTGCAAACATAGATCTATGAGACAAATCTTTCAGTTAGGTAGCTCTACATTTTTATGTACTCATTCCTTTTATTTATCCCATCCTGGTCTTGCAATATTATCCAAATTAACACAATAGAAATTTTTAGATACAATTTTTCAATTGTTTTTCTCCTAGTGAAATATGTCATTCTTCTTAAGCCACATAGGAGCTTATTTGTATATATCTTCTTGCATTTCAGGCAATGTAGGTACAGAATTGTCATACACTGAGATTGGCATGTATGTTTCTTCAGATGGTGGAAATTCCTGGAGACAGGTAATTTTTTTTATCAGGCTCAATAAACAGTTTTTCTGTAATATATTTATTTCACATTTCTTGGAAGGAATGCACAGTTCATGCTATGCCTTTCTGATTTTCAGATCTTCGAGGAAGAATACAATGTATGGTTCCTTGATTGGGGTGGAGCACTTGTGGCCATGAAACACACATCAATGCCTATTCGACATCTGTGGTGAGTTTCTTTTCACTTCTACTATGCTCTTTGCTGAATAAAGGATTCTCCTATTTTGGCTTATCCAAAAGTAATTACTAGATGATTGTTTGCTGCTGATAGTAATAATGTTGCAGTGTATTTTTCAGAGGTATCCATGTTTCTTTTGGATGGATTGCTTTCTTTTGTTGGACATTTTTCAGAGGTTACAAAGAGCTTAGAATAGCAAATAAATTAGAATAGTGTAATGGGCTGAGGGAGTAACCTTGTGGAATAGGAGAAAGAACCACAAGGTTCACTTAAATGAAATCTGAGTCCAAAGCAGAAATGTAATTTGAGAAAACATTGTAGACTCTATCCTCCCAAATTACCTTGACCCTCTTATAGATAAAGACAGGTACAGGGAAGGCACATGGTAAGATTCTGTCACTACTACAACCCTATAAAAAGATGGTATTAATATTAAAATATTTGTTATCCTCGCCTGATTAATTTCAAAGTCTGATAAAGACACCTGAATATATATATATATAGGTTTGGTTATTCGGGTCTTCTCCCACGTAAAATTGGAAGTGTCTTGGTGACGTTTCGACGAAGTCTCATTCGTCATCTTCAGGCTGGTGTTCTCAGCTTCGTGCTTCCAGGAGCAATGTGAGATCGCAGCTGTCTCTTCCTTTTAACTGCTAGTGGGGGTGTGAGCTGATTGGGTGGGAACTTGGCTGTGTTCTGATTGGGTAGAGGTGTGTTCTGATTGGTTAGGGGCTTGGCTGTGCTCTGATTGGATGGGGGGTTGGTTGTGCTCTGATTGGCTGGGGGTGTGTTCTGTTTGGGTGGGGGCTTGGTTGTGCTCAGCTTAGTCTGAGTTGCAGGGGGATTTGAGCTGGTGAACTGCATTGTTGTTGTTTGGCTTCGTGTTTGTGGCCGTGCGAGCTCTTCATGGTGGGTGTCAGTCTGCTTCATGTATGGATTGGAGGGGTTTAAAGCGGCTAATGATGCAGCTGCGGTCTGGCTTCTGGTCCTTGGTCGTGGCAGCTTACAATGTGCTAAGCAATAGCCTTCATCCTTTTGTATATTTATACAAAGTCAGCTTATTGCCCCCACAACTGGGTCCTCAATTTACCTACCTTAGAAAGGATGGAAGGCTGAGTCAACTTTGAGCCTGGCGAGATTCGAACCTGCAGTAATTGCAGGCAGCTGGTCTTAATAACAGGGTGCTTTAGACCACTGTACTACCAAGGCTCTATGTAAGGGTCTTTGGTTATTCGGGTTTTCTCCCGCGTAAAATTGGAGGTATCTTGGCAACGTTTCGACGAAGTCTCATTCGTCATCTTCAGGCTGGTGTTTTCGGCTTTGTGCTTCTAGGAGTAATGTGTGTGATCACAACTGTTTCTTCCTTTTAACTGCCAGTGGGGGTGTGAACTGATTGGGTGGGAGCTTGGCTGTGTTCTGATTGGGTGGAGGTGTGTTCTGATGGGTTGGAGGTTTGGCTGTGCTCTGATTGGCTGGGTGTGTGTTTTCTGTTTAGGTGGGAGCTTGGTTGTGCTTGGGTTAGTCTGAGTAGCAGGGGGATTTGAGCCGGTGAGCTGTATTGCTGTTGTTTGGCTTCGTGTTCATGGCCTTGCCACCTCTTCATGGTGGGTGTCAGTCTGCTTCATGTATGGATTGGAGGGGTTTAAAGTGGCTAATGATACAGCTGTGGTCTGGCTTCTGGTCCATGGTCATGCCTCATCATCAATGTGGGTTTGAGTCTGCTTTCTGCGTGGATGTGTGGTGGTTACATCCTGTGTGGCTCTCGTGAGTATGGGTCTGGTGTCATTCTTTGTGTTAGGGACTCGTTTGTCAATAAGGGCGGGTTTCCAAATGGCTGGTAGGCTGGAGGTATCATCTCGTTTATTCATGCTGTGTGGACGTTTTTCTATCTTGATGGCTTCTCTGATTATTCTGTTGTTAAAGTGTTCAGTTTTGGCGATAGTTCTGGTCTTTTTAAAATCAATATCATGTCCTGTGGCTTTGAGGTGTTGGACCAGGGAAGAAGTTGGTTCCTCTTTTCTGACTGAGTTCTTGTGTTCTTCAATGCCCACCCAATCAGAACACACCCCCACTGGCAGTTAAAAGGAAGAAACAGCTGCAATCACACACATTGCTCCTAGAAGCACAAAGCCGAATACACCAGCCTGAAGATGACGAATGAGTTGCCAAGACACCTCCAATTTTACACGGGAGAAAACCCAAAAAACCAAAGACCTACATACAAACACCTGCAAAAACCTCAGAATATATATATATATATATATATATATATATATATATGTGTGTGTGTGTGTGTGTGTGTGTGTGTGTGTGTGTGTGTGTGTGTGTTTTCTGAGGTTTTCGCGGGTGTTTGTATGTAGGTCCAATTTTACGTGGGAGAAAACCTGAATAACCAAAGACCTATATATAGATATAGATATATATATGTCTTTGCCCATTAGAATCATAGCAGTACATATATAATCATGATTTTTTTTAAAAAAAGTCATAGATTATATTGGAATGTCTTAATAGACTTAGAAAAGAAGCAGGATTATAACAAAATACTCTACTTTGCAGTAAGATTATGCAATGGCTCAGCAGTTAAAGACTCTGAACTTGCTAGCTGGAAAGCTGAAAGCCCAGGTTTGAAACCTGAGTGCTGCAAGATGGGGTGAACTCCTGTTATTGCCTCAGTTCCTGTTTGCCTAGCAGTCCAATAGCATGCAAATGCAAGTAGATAAATAGGTACTACTTTGGTGAGAAGATAACAGTATTCTGTGTGCTTCGTATAGTCATGCTGGCTACATGATCACAGAAAATGTTTTTGGACAATGCTGGCTTCCTCCTAAGAAACTGAGAACCCGCACCCTAGAGTCAGGCATGATTGGACAAGGGAAACCTTTCAACCCATTGGATTTCATAACCCCCCTTTTTATGATACATGGAATAATATGTATAAAACATATACAATATGTATATATAAACATATATATGTTTTCTTTTCTTTTCGTAGGCCTTTATGTGTATTTCTCTTTAGCCAGGTTCTTCCTACGTAAACCAAGATTTTTATGCAGCTCTAGTTCAGTGAAATGACAATCCACTAGTTTCTAGGCTTTTTTCAGGCAGCCAGCAAGCACTGTAAACTCTCCTTAGTCTCCCAATGGGCAGCAGGGTGCTTGCTGGCTGCCTGAAAAAAGCCTAGAAACTAGTGGATTGTGATTTCACTGAACTAGGGCTGCATAAAAATCTAGGTTTACGTAGGAAGAACCTGGATAAAGAGAAATATATATATGACTACAACAGGTTTGTCATGTTTTTGCTCAGGAAGTCTACCCTTCATTCTGCACCCTCACAGACATTTTATTTAAATGCCAACATCTGATTATAAGAATGGGAGACTAGCAGAACGACAAATGATGATGACTTGCTTAAGGCTATCTTGTTATTTCATTCTATTATATATCACAGTTTTTATGAATAGTCTTTCTGAACCAAAGGAATGTAGAAAACAGTGAGCAGCATAGAAATCCACCTCCATGTTAAATCAACTAAATCAAAATACAAAGAACACATTCTCATCCAACTCTCAAACTATCATCCTGCTTGTGTATTTGACTTTTTATTCACTTGAATTATAGCCTGTCCTTTAAAAGATTCTCAGCACAATTTTTAAAAAGTCAGTAACAAAAAAAAAAAAAATCAAAACAGAAATAAGTCATATTGAGTATATGAAGCTAATATTCAGGCCCAGGACTGGAGTTTCCCTTGATTACACAATGAACACATGTCAGCAGAAGAAATTATAAGGCAGAAATGCATCTCATGCATGTATCTAACTAAGAAAACATTCTTTGGTTTATCTGATGAAATAGGATTATCTTTGCTATGGTGATGAAATAGAATTTCAATATGTACAATTAGCACTGCTATTTAATAAATTTACTTGATCTTACAGCAATAGCACTTAAACTTATACTGCTTTACAGGGCTTTACAGCCCTCTCTATGCTTTGCTTCTTGTAAATATTGCAGCTGCTGAAATTTTTTAATGAAGAATATTGTGGGGTCAACTGATTAGCTTTCAAGAGTTGATATTCTCAACATTATATGTGTGAATTAAAATAATCTTGATGAGGCAGCATGTATGTAAAAAGTTGAGAAACAATTTATTATTTAAATGATTTCTTACAGGAAAAAATGAGATTATATCACTTTTGTTTTTTCACTTTATTTTGATCTACTGATTCATATCCTGAAAACATTTTATTCGTATCTTGTATCTTGTATTTTGTAATCGACATAGCATTTTTTGTTGTTTCAAAAGCCTGTTTTCAGACAAACACTCACCAATGCTAAAAATCATCCAATATTACATCAGACTGTATGGTCAGTCTAAAATCCTCTTGAAGACCATAATTCAGTACCTTAAAAAAACCCGACCTTACTTCTCATCAGCATTCAATTAAGCTTCAAAGGAGATGCACTCTTCCTTGTTTATATACAATTTATGAAATTATTTTTAAAAGAACATAAAACTAAGAGAAACTAACACAGAATAAAGAGTACAGAGAGAAAGAAATGAGAAGAGATGCACACTTTCATGAATTTTTCCATTAAGGGATGTTTTGGAGGATTCATGACACAATGATTCAAAACAAGTAGATATTACTGATACAGAAAATTGTTCAAACCCAAACTTAAATTTTTGTTAGCTTATAAATACATTTAAATTTCCTTGTTTTTGTACACCACCCAAAATCATTCCTGCTGAAATCTGTATGAGATAGATAGATAGATAGATAGATAGATAGATAGATAGATAGATAGATAGAAAGGTAGGTAGGCAGGCTGGCTGGCAGGCAGGCTGGCAGGCAGGCAGGCAGGCAGGCAGACAGATAGATAGATATCACAACCCAAAGTGATTATTTAGTTCACTGGGTTTCTTGTTGGGGGTGTGTGGTTACAGGTGGAAGCCATGCAGGAAATCATTTGGATTCCATTCAGATGTATAAATCCATGAGGATTCACAGGCTTTAGGGCTATTTGACTCATCCAGAACCTTGGTGATTTTATTGCAAATGTTTCATGACCCAACTAGGTAATATCATCAATGCTAGAAGGGAGTGGGGGTTGTAGAGAGGAGGAGGAGAAGAGGAGGAGGAGGATAACTGTGGGGTCTCTGAGCTGGGTGGATTTTTGCAGATATTTTATGACCCAACTAGGTAACATCATCAGTTCTAGAAAGGAGTGAGATTTGGGAGGAGGAGGGGGAAGAGGGAGGGAGGGAGGGAGGGAGGGAGAAAGAATGAATCTCTTTGTATCTCCATGTCATTTTTTTCTGAAAAACCTCAGATAATTGAGGAAAGATGATAGAACATAATTACCAACAAAACTGATAAAAATCAAAATTTCCTTCTTACTTGCAAGACTTTGAAAAGTAGAGTATTTTTCATCATCATGCAGCCACACGTGGCCAGAGATGGGAATGTGGAAAACTCATTAAGTTTGGCTGGTTATCATATGTCTCCCTCATTAGACTTTTTGAATTGGATTGGATTTTTGCTACCTAGTGATAGACTTTTTTCACATTTTCTGGATTGATGAATGGGGTTGAGGCTGCCAAGTGAACATTTTATTTAACCTAGTGAACAGTTAGCTACAGATGAAATTTAGTCTGCATCATGAGGTTAAAAAAAAGACATATCAAACAAGCTCAACATTTGTTTCCCATTGTTCTAGGAACATGAAATAATTTAATTTACAGGAAGGAGATCGAATGTTAGAAAAAACACTTTATAGAGCAATGCAATAGTGAGACTAATTACCTATACAATGGTGGGTTGGACAGTTCAAGATAAACATTTGTCAAGACTGCTTTAATTTGAATAATTGTAGTAAGCAGTAATTTGTTACCCCCAAAGTTCCAAAAGTAGTACTATGGTGTTTGGGTTGTTTTTTTACTCAGTCACTTCTGATTATTTGGATATTAAAGGACCAATTTAAGAGAAAAATCTGTTATACAGAACTTTTAAATCATATGATTTAAAAATATTTTCTCTCAAAATACACATTTACTATGCCTATTTTCCTCAAGTTATTTATTTTGAAATGCATTTTAAACAAAGAGTTGCATCAGGACATTTTTGAAGTGTAAAAGATTAAGTTTCAGTGTGTAGATTGGTTCATGAGGTGCGGATCAGATTTCATAAAGAACAGTGTCAAAAGCATCTTTTATTCAGTGGAAATATTTCTCCAACTTCTTAAAAGAAGTGTGTATTGGATCAAAGCTGCATATTTTTTTTTATTTGCTGGTCATCATTGTAGAAACTTTCACAATGAAATTGTAACACTATATAAACAACATCACAATATAATTAAATCTATGAGATTTTTCCATCTCATAGATTCCATATTTAAGATTCATATCCAGGAATGTAAAAAAAAAAAAAAAGGTGGTGGTCATTATTCATGCTGCAAATCTCATGATATTTTGGCATTATTTGAATAGATCTCACATAAGAATACATTCATTCATTCATTCATTCATTCATTCATTCATTCATTCAGAATGCATGCATTTTCTTTGGTTATCCATCTCAATCAATGACTGGGTGGCTTACAATTAAGAATTAAGAGTTGTCCACATATGCCATTTAAAGATGCTACAAACATGTAGAAATCCTCAGATGCTGTAGCATTAATCGCTCACTTTGATACATATTTTATTTAGGGTTACAAATCTGAAAACGTTTATTTTATGGGACAACTGCATTTGCATTCATTAAAGTTCTTTTTTTTTATTCAAAAAGTTTTTTTTATTTTATAAACAAACAAACAAACAATACATAATCAATCAGTCAATATATCTTCTGAATACATCTTTTGTGTCTTCTTTTTGCTCTTCCAATATTTATCGTATCTTAATATTATCATTTCCTTTATTATGATATTTCCCCACTTTTCTTACTTCTCTATTAATACATTTATCTATCTTTTAATTTTATTGAAAATTAGACAACCATTTTATCTCCACACAACCTTCTACCCCCTCTTCCCCACCCCCACACCCAACTTCCCAGAGCAAAAACAGGGTATAGCATTAAACAAACATAAGCTAAAATATACTAACTTACTACAAGATTCAAAACTCCCTGAAACTCTTTAACTCCTCTTTTAAAAATTGTTCATCAGTTTCCCCTTTTAGAATTCTAATTTAAACATTTTAAATTAAATGCTTCTTTAAAGCATATCTTTTTAGAAGAAAAAAAATATTATTTTATATCCATTCAATTTTAAATTAACCATTTTAATATTTCAGTAAGTTTTTTAAAAAAACACTTCAATAAAATATTCTTCAGAATATAACCTTAAAGATACTATTAATCCATTGAGTTAAATTATTTCTAACTCTTGAGTTCATTCTTCAAAATATCAATTTCAAAACTTTCAGAAAGCTTTAAAGTTAACCATTTTAATACCTCAGTAATTTTTAAAAAGCTATCCATTTTTAGTTAAACATTTTTACTTAAACTTAAAAAAAATACTAATTTCAGTAGACTTTTCAGATTTATTATTAAAATCCTCCCCAAAAGAAATTAATCTTCAATTCTTCCTTTCTTTCTATATTTTTTCCAATCCTTTTTCTTCAATAATACTTTCTTTTTCAGCATTGCTCCTCCCCCTGCTTTTATAGATTTTATAGATTTGAAGCTGATGTGTTTAAAAATCATTCTCTTCCAAGAGTTATCTCCTTTAATTTGAAACCTCCATTTTGACTCTTCCTGCTTATATAATCAGTCACTTCATTCCTTAAAAATTGATTCTGTCTATAAAGCCAAAAATTGTCACGATAAAGTTTATCAGTCTGCAGGAAAGAGTCTATTTGCTGCTTTTCAGTTAACTGCATAGAAGCCTCTGCCAAACCTCTGTTTTCAGTGTGCTAACTTCCATCGTGATCCTGACAGCCTCTTTTCCCTGCTCCAAAGTCAAATTAGCTTGATTAATTTATTCCCTTTTTCCAACCAGCAAATCATTGTTGTTCTCCAGATTTTGATTTTGAACAGTCCTTTCAATTGATTCTAATATAACAGAAGTATGAAAATTTAAAAGTTCTTGTAAAACATTTACAGTCACAACTTGTGAATTTGCTGGCTCATATAATAATGATCTTCCATCCTTGATGTCAGCCATATTTCAATTTCCACTTTAATTTTATTCAGCTATCAGGTCAATAAGTAATAATTTTCCACACAATTTAGAAGTATATAGTAGTTGAGGTCAATACCATAGTCTTTTCCATTCCACTAGCACTTTAAATCTTTTTCTTGCCTTGTAATCCAGTAGCTTTAACAATGTTGCAGCTTTAACGATCACTTTCACTAGTAAGTTTCATTTTAACGCCCTTAAGCACCATCTTTTTTCTTATTCTTTTAAACAGAGTTAAAGTTTAGGATTTGCATTTTCTGCTTTCCTGATTTTGCTCTGCCAGCGTCCAGGTTCAAATTTTCTCATAATCCTTAAAATTGCATTGCTGGTGTGGTCGCGACCCCTTGTTCTGCATAAAGCAGAATCGTCTCGGATCTGGAGCACTGAAGGACTTTCAGGGAGCTCTCACCCTGCAACCCCCAGGTTTTTTTTAAAAAGGGGAGCTCTACCCAGGGGAGCTCTACCCAGACCCTTCTGCTCTTCTCTTCCCATTTTTCCCTGGCGGAGAGTTTCGAGCCGCTAGACAGCTGATTTTTGCTGTTTTAGTGGCAAACGGAATTGCAGGGCTGGAGCTCCTAAAGGAGCATCCATCGGGAAACGCGGAGCCACTGGAAGTCCACTCATTAAAATTCTTGTTTGTGTTTAATACAGTGTTTTTTTTCCCCACAATAATTTTTCATGGTCATTCTAAAAAGAAGTATAGTTGAATTTTATAAATACCACTAGACCTGAATGAGGAAACCTACCTCAAGAAGGAAAGACAATAATTCACTGTGCAGATTTTATATGATCTTCCATTTTCCTCTAATTAGAGCAATTATTTTATTCAAACACAGCTCTTACTTACTTTAATAATTATGCTGTATTACCACTTCAAAGCATGTTGAATCAGAGTATTAATAATATGGAAAATTGTGAAGATTGATGCTTATTTATAAATCCAACTGTTCTCTCTTTCTCTCTCTCATCAGCCAAAGACATTTAATTACCTTGGAAATGGCTCCAGTGAAACATTTTCATGTATATTTATCTCTTTCAATCTCAGGGTGAGTTTCGATGAAGGAAGGACCTGGAATAAATATGGCTTCACATCAGCACCACTCTTCGTGGATGGGTCCCTAGTGGAGCCAGGCATAGAAACTCAGATAATGACGTAAGTTGGAGACTTAAACAAGATGCCTTGCGAGACAGTAGAGATGAGCCATTTAGGCCATCCATCAAACAGAATGTCAGGTTTGTTCCAGGGGATCTCCGGGTTGCTCTCTAAAGTCTGAAATTTTATGCTAGTATATTAACTACTGTATATCTTGATATTCTTGCAGCTTTGATAGTATGCTTCTGTTGTAAATTTCTATTGCAGCTTTAATTTAAATATATGTGGTACTAAAACAAGCTACTAATACTTACTGAGCTTGCAGCAGTTAGACTCAGAATTCTGTTTTATGTATACCAATTAAACAACCTGATCATACTGAATATTCTCATCTTCATATATTCATGTAAAATGAGAGCAGCCCATTTCTTTAGATTGCCTTTTATTCTTGTTATCCAGGCACAGCTTAACAATGTTTAACATTTTTCTAAGACTGATTTATGTCAATTGGGATAATTAAGATAAACCTCTGTAAGAAGTTAAGATCTAGAGATAATGCATAGATTAGGGCTTCCAAAACTGGAGAAGTTAAGATTTTTGCAGCCTCAATCTGGTAATCCTAACATATATCTTCTTTTTGTCAAATTAATCCATGTTTTCATGCCCATTTTAAAGTATATTAATTGGTATACATTAAAGTATGATACTACAGTATGTTTATCATACTTTGTCACTAAAGTATGACTATTAGTATCATACCATAAAGTATGATACTCATAATTAATCTTATTAGTAATAAAATAACTATTTAAATTTACAAATTAAAATATATGTGGGATGAAAAGTATTTCCAGATGTATCTTTTTAATCAGAAAAAAAAATACAGTATTTGTTTTTGTCAAGATTCAGATGATATGAGTGTTACTTTTCAATGCCACAGTTCATTGGTAAGTGCCCTAACAATTCTGTCTGTCAAGGAATATTTCAGTAAAACTCAATCTTCTTTTGTAACTACTCACCTTGAAAATTAAGTGGACTATAAATTTAACTATTATATATCTGGGTATCCGAAGTAAGTGAAGGCCTGCAAACAAGGGTACAAGGCTCCAGGTGCAACTTGAACCTTGTACTTTTTTCATTTCATATTTCATTGCCACTTATCCCCTTTAAATAGGAGATCACTTCACATCTTATCTTAAGGCAGAAAAAAGCCAATCGATATCAAATGTTCCTTTTAAAAAGAAAACAATCTTGATCATTTGTTTGATTTATATATCTAGCTGCCTATTAAATTATCAAAGTAATATTTGAAGATGATTTGCTTGTATTATCACTACTTCCTTTTTTAAAGTTTTGGGAAATAACAGCTGATTATTTCTAATATTTAACCATATATTCTAATATATGGTTTCTAATATTTGAAGTAGGAATCAGAATAAGTACAAGTGGCTGAGAAATTTCTTTTTATATACAGAAGTTACTCAGATGGCTTGTATTTTTGTTTTGGGGTGAGGAGAAAAGGTTGGCAGAGGTTGGGGTTGTCTTTTAAAAAGACAGAGTTTACATTTTGAACTTTAAGCCTCCTGCTCTTAGCAAGTACTAGTGGTACAAAGCCTTCCCTGTTACTGAGTTAAGAGTGGATTAAGAGTAAATTCCATTCCTAATTCTGTCTTTAACTTGAATTTCTATGTCAATTGGAACTCATCGATACAAACAGTCTGCCTATTACTGAAAATAGCAGACTCTGCTTTCCTTCCTAAAGCCAACAAACTGCTGAAGCCATGCAATACTTTCAGGAATCATTGAAAACTAATAAAAGCAGTCTGTATATTTTTTTAAAAAAACCCTATGATTTCAGTGGTTCCTGAAAGCATTGCATGTCTTCAATGGTTCATTGGCTCAAGGAAGGAGAACACTATCCACCATTTTTAACAATAGGCAGTCAATTTGTATCTAAGGTTTGTCCTTACATCTGACGTACTTAACCCAGCAACTGCCTGTATTTCTGCTGAAGGTGTTACTTACTATCTATAACAGCTTTCCAGGTGATTTCTTTCATACAGATTTATTGTTGCTCTCATATGCACTGACTCTAAAAAGATTTCATATTAAATAACAGGAGACAATTAAGCAGGTGGATGTATGACTCATTTCCTCTACAGGAACTCTCTTCTAGTACATCAGGGACAGGGTTTCTAGTCCAGTCTTTCTAGATTTCTAGTTAGATTTCTAGTCTAACCCAGTTTCTCTTCAAGGAGGAAATATGTCTCGTTCTGCAAACATGGTCTAAGCATCTTATTTTTATATGACAAGCCCTGAATATTTCTTTGGCTCTTTCATATTTAAGAAAGTGTGTTTGCTTATATTTATTAGTGTAGTTTCAGTTTTGACCATTGGATAATATCAGATAGATAAAAAAGCTAGATTTAATAAAATGCTCAATTATTAGTTTTTTAAAAAGAATTCTGGATTTTTTAGTCTGTCTGTCCTTCTCTATATATGTAAATATAAAGTGTTCTTTGCAAGCAAAGTTTATCTGGGGTATAATGAAATAGAGATTTTTGAATTTGTATTTTGTACAGTATATGTTACCTAATTCTGCATTTACAATATGCAATCAAAATGATTAATCGTTGAAAAGACAAGTGTCTGAATTTTATGATATAGTTGTTCAAACCTCCAAAAAAGTATATAGTAAAATGAATCTGTTTGGAAAATGTTTGCCTAAAAATTAAGATTTTCATGAAAATATAAAATATATAGGTGAACCATGTGAAATATAGTTGTAAAGATATGGCTAGATTTGATTTCAGCTGGAGATGATAACTGATAGAGCCACTGGATATTACACTGATTTATTATATGTGCCTATAATTTGCCAATATTTACACTTCCTTTACTGTAGAGAGAGTAATTATCTCTTGGTATAAATATCTGATGAGATAATGATTGCAAACGTTGATATCTTCCATGTGTCCATTTTAAAATACTTATGAAGCATTTCATCAGCATTGTCCATACAAAGCAACAACAACAAAAGAATCTTGAGAAATTATTTGTGAATGGTGAATGGCACATTATATAAATATTCTTTGTGACCACCGTCTGAGAAAAACAGCTGCACATATGCAGGCTCCACAGAATTAGAATATATGATTTTATTGATATCCCAGTTGGCTACAGAAAGAATCATAAGTGTCTGTGGGAAGGGCAAAGGTTTGTCTGGATAAATCGGGAGAACTTGGCTATTTCAAAGGTCAAGATATGTATTAAAGAACAAAACAGATTAAGTAATAATTAGCAATAACCATCCAACTCCCATTTTAAGACTTTGATTTTTAAGAGCTACTTTATGAGTCCATTATTTCTTGTAATATCTACAGTATAACTAGATACTGGTTGTATAGTCCTGCTTTATAGACTAGATCCAAAATTAATTTGTATTTTTAATACAATTAAAATACATTAAAATACATTAATAAATGGCATGCACAGTGACATTAGGTAAAGCAGCAATACAAAATATTAAAAACACATCAAATTTTTACAACCTTTTAAACTCATGTACATTTACATATATAATTAATCAGCTAATCACATATTTAATCGCTCATGAAATTTCACAGTCATCCTTTTCAGACCTAATTATGATCAGTTTCCTAATCCTGGAGTTGGATAAGGAAATATCTATCTCTCATCCAAAAGCTGAGGTCTCAGATTTTCTAAGAATAATCTTATAAGCAGTTTCTGTTCCCAAACATTTGCATAATGATATTTTGAATATACTCTGACAGAACTAAACTAGGTAACTGCTCACTTTTCTTTTTTAAGGTAAATAAGACTAGACACTTTCAATTAAAGCCTGGTATAAAAGCTATTCCTACAATCCTATGTGTATCTATTATATACTAAACTCCTTTGATTTTACTGGTATTATGCCTGGGGGAAAAAATCAGACCAACTGAATATTCTGTATAAGAATTTTAGAAGCCATCGGGTAAATATCAGAAGTGGTATTTACTGATAGGCAGTGAAAAAGAAACTCAAGAGACCTCCTCCTTGATTCTTTTGGTTATAGAAGAGAAGAGAAAGTGTCTGTCAGGCTTTCAAGATTATGTTGTTATACCTGCATCAATAAATTAGAGCTCCTTGGGAAGTCTGTTTCCTGACTTCGTTTACCTCTAAGAGTTAACCTCAACTAACCTGCATCTATATGGTATAATTTCACTGACATATTTGATCATTCTCTCCTTGGGAATGAACTGAAAACTTTAGGAAATTATACTTGGCAGAGTTGACAAACTGCTTTTCTTTTTAGATATCAGTGTTGTAGTTAATTTTGTTGAAAATAACGATAAAAACAAATATGTGCTCAAGCCGGAGCATCTGTTGTTGTTGTTTAGCAAAAATTAAGTTAAGAAAAGAAATTAATGCTTGGGTAAAACAAAGACAAAACAACAAACACCTATCATTAAATATTAATGACCAACTTTTCCCTCTTTCTACTTCTTCAGAGCTATATTTTTTTTTACATATTTTAGAAGCAAATGTCACATGAAATCACTGGGGAAATTTTAACAAGTTTTTTTCTTTAAAAAAGCTTTGATTTGTAATTTTGCAAATGCATATGTTAATATCCCATTCATGTTTTTCCACATTCTCCTCACAAGTATAACCATCTGACTAATTTGTAAATCCATCCTGAACAGAAATTCCCCCTCCCCTAGTAATTATATGTTCAGCAGCTTACTTCACTAATTGCACTTGGCATCATGCAGTAGCTCAGAGATTGCTCCTTGGCATACCATTTGCTGTGTTTCCACACTTGTGCCAACCTTTTAAGGAAAGTGCCTGTTACATTGTTAAGCAGCTGAATGACTACTTTCTAAAAAATCTAAGATTCTCATTGTAACCACTAAAATAAATTAGCATTCAGTGGTTAATGGTAATTGTCCATTTCTTTCTTGCTTCTTTTTGAGAGATCACCAATAGATGCCAATTCTTTCCTCATGCGTTTCTAAACTTTTCACTGAGACAGCTGGAAAAAATTCCTTAATTGG